CCCCCCCCCGCCGCCACCAAACGGGTTGCTGAGCCCTTGCGAGGAATTGCGAGAGTCAAATTGTGGTGGCTGGGATTATTGAATGTTAGGGGGTAATTGGGGGTGAAACATTGATTGGGAATGCAAAATTCCCGTTGTTTGGAATTTTATTCTTTAGGTTTTAGGATGAATGTCAATTTTTTGGGGGAAACCATTTTTTTATATCGTCAATTTGGGGGGAAAGGATGAGGCGATTTGGGCGAGCCACGGGTCATTGTAAAGAGCAAAAAAATTGCTTGAATATGAAAAAAAAATTGGGGAATTTCACTCTGCCGTTTTTGAGTTATTGATGATTGAAGAGGCGGTCGTTTTTGTTGATCTCATTATTAATTGGAGAAATCGATGAATAATTGGTTGAAAGTTGATTGAAGGTCAATGCCTATTGTTTTTTATAGTTATTGCCGTAACGATGAGTTTTTTAATTTTGTTTATGAGTTGAAAAAAAATTAATGAAGTACATGTAACGCAATTTACAATACGATTGTTCAAAAATTATCATAATGGGATAATTAATGTAATTATCACATTATCCGGCGACAATTTAAAAAATGTTGAATAATAAGTATTTCAAAATTGAATAAAAAGCCATCTATTATTATTTTTAGTAATTATTTTATAAAGATCAGCTGAAAAAATTATTTTATTTAAATACACTTTTCTTTTTAAAAAAAATCTCAACAAAAGATTTGTATTTGATAACGAAAAATAGTGAACAGTTTAGAGATAAGATCGAGGAAAATTGATACGTTGGAAATCCACTCATTCCATTCTCAATTCAATTTTTTTTTCTCAGCTTTGAATTTGATGATAGCAGGGGCGTGAATGTATCGCATTGGGGATGGGATGCCACGCGACCACTGATTATACCATTCATCGGGTGAGTAGGACGAAAGAGAGGGGAAAGGGTCATAAACGCCGTCACCCATTCGCACCCAAATGCTTCCACTCTTCTCTTTTGAATACTCCACTCGTCAATGTAATTTTCTTCTTCATACGGGTTTCGTATGCTTAAACATTTGCGATCGTTGTTGTACATGCGTGATTCATGTTATTTGTTGGATCGATTTTTCCGGGGAATTGAGGTGCAAGTTTTCTTTTTCTGTCGTGCAACAAACGTTCATTCCTTATTTATTCACCGCTCGGATGATTTTTTGAGTTTTGACGGTTGGGGAAATCAACTTTTTCTAAAAAAAATTTTTTATTAACATACGTTTATTATTTATTCATTCGTCTCCGAGGTGACAATAGACTAGTTGAATGCGCCGGAAATTAATTACCAATCATATTAATTATTTAATAACAATTATTATTACTTCAAATAATTGGTTTTTCAGTTTTTAAATTATTACAGGTATATTTATATAGTACTGTATATCGCCATCGTCCCTCTAACGGTTTAAAAACAGAATAAAAATAATAATCATTCATAATTTAATAATAATCAATAGTTTAATAATTCTTAATATAATTAAGAATTTTCCATTATCGATTTGACATAATGAAAAAAATCCTAGTTTCATTCTACGGAATTTAACAAAAATTTTTATGACGACATTTTGAATCGAATAAAAATTGCCCTGTGAGAAGCATGTCAAAGCATTAAATAAATAATAATATTCAATAAATCAATTTAAATCAATCCTTATGATTGTCTACACATCACCTGCAAAATCGTCCACCAATTAAGAATAGAAAAACATCAAGAATTTTAATGCCCAAAATTGGGAATAAATCTCGAATTTATAATCGTTCCTAGGACATTTGAGAAACTAAGAGGCGGGTCAAACACCCCCGTGATTTTTTCCGGGGAGATCTATGAAATTGAAAAGTGTGTTATTCGAATCGCCTATTGGATTATGATTTTATGATATATTCTGGGCACGGGCTGGGGCTGTTGATGTATTCATCGGGTGTAGCACAACGGAACTGTATAAAATACTGCCATTCCATTTTACCTTCAACGCCAATAACTTATTGTTGCTGCGTATTCCTATTTTGATTTGACAGCTGCACATGTAATGCGTTTGGTGAATTCAATGTGGAGGAAATTAGCTCAATCATTTATGGGGGTGGAAGAACCACGTAAAGTTGGTGGAATCACAAAGAATGATGACACTTAATTATTCATGGGGAAGTGAAATCAATTTAGTGATTATAGAACCGAAAATAAAATTTTTATCATTCGATAAATAATTATATAACATTATTTTATGTAAGAATGATAATAATTTTTTATTTACGTTTGACTCGTGCTAATTTATAACTAGTTTAAGTTATTTTCCATTATTTAATCACAAGAAATTATGAGAATTTTTAGGTGAAATGAAAAGTATTAATTGTTAAATTGAGGGCGACATTTCTAATTGATTTGGTCGCAAATTAGAAATGTTATTCATGGGAAAATGAAATCAATTTAGTGATTATCGTACCGAAAATAAAATTTTTATCATTCCATAAATAATTGTATAACATTATTTCACGTAAAAATGATAATGATTTTTTATTTACGTTCAATTCGTGATAATTTATAATGAGTTTAAATTAATTTCCATGATGTAATCACAAGAAATCACGAGAATTTTTAGGTGAAATAAAAGTATTAATTGTTAAATTAAGGACGACATTTCTAATTGATTTGTTCGCAAATTAGAAATGTTATTCATGGGAAAATGAAATCAATTTAATGATTATAGAACCGAAAATAAAATTTTTATCATTCTATAAATAATTGTATAACATTATTTTATGTAAGAATGATAATAATTTTTTATTTACGTTCAATTCGTGATAATTTATAATGAGTTTAAATTAATTTCCATGATGTAATCACAAGAAATCACGAGAATTTTTAGGTGAAATAAAAGTATTAATTGTTAAATTAAGGACGACATTTCTAATTGATTTGGTCGCAAATTAGAAATATTATCCATGGGAAAATGAAATCAATTTAATGATTATCGAACCGAAAATAAATTTTTCATCATTCTATAAATAATTACATAACATTATTTTATGTAAGAATGATAATGATTTTTTATTTACGTTCAAGTCGTGATAATTTATAATGAGTTTAAATTAATTTCCATGATGTAATCACAAGAAATCACGAGAATTTTTAGGTGAAATAAAAGTATTAATTGTTAAATTAAGGACGACATTTCTAATTGATTTGTTCGCAAATTAGAAATATTTTTCAGGACGCGGAAATACTCCATAACTACCCCAACAAATTGAATAACAAACTGAGACGAATGGAGTGGGCATCGGAGAGTGGGGGATGAGTAAAATGTCTCGACTCCTTACAACTTCGTTAAAGCGCAAAATTTTCCCGTGAAAGAGATTAGTTTGCATAAATACCACTGCTCGCCGCATTTTTTATCCCTGATTACTGTTTCTTGAAAAGTTAATTCCATTACCAACAAGTCAACATTCGCATTTCAGCAGCAACTTTATATCTCATTTCTCCATCTCCGTTGAAATTTAAGGAGAAATAGTGCAGATGTAAAGGTGAGGCTACAATGTGCTCATGATTTCAGGGATGAATAACGCTTGATTCTTACACCCGGGGTAAAATTTTGTCGGTAAATATCCAACTACTCACGGCTCTCGAGGACTTTGGGGGTAATCGCTAGTGGAGAATGGGAGAAAATAAAATTGTTCTGTTTGTCGAGTGGATCTTGTAATCGAATTATCCGACACTTTGTCATATTTTCTTTTCATTCGACACGAGTGCCCAGGGGGGTCGTTCATCGAGTGTTTCGCATGTAGCTTTTTTCTATCACTGGGTTTAGGGAAGAGAAGAACTATTGTTGGTAATTTAAGAAAATAATTTGGGATTTTTATTTTATAAATATTTCTATTCAATGTTAAATTTCAAATGCTTATTTGGTCTCGATAATTCTTTAAACATCAGTGACAAACAGTTCACAAAAAAAAATTTATTTATAATGACTGGGGACGACAGGAAAATCTCTATTTTTAAAACAATTATCAATTGTTCTTCGTCTTTTTTTATTAAAAAAAAATACGGATCTAATATTTTTCATTTAATATTTGTGAACGAACTATTCTTGTTAATGTGAGAAAATAATTTCTGTATTTGTTATGAAAACATTTTAATTTAATTAGAATTCTTAAAAACTGCTTATTCCACAAAAAATTTTTATTCAAAAACTTTTGGGGCACAACAGATCCCATAAAAATCGTTATTATCAAAAAAACACTGACTATTTATAATTTTTCTATTCTTAAAAACAAAAAACATTCATATTGCATTATCTCATTCACCAAAAAAAATTATCTAAAAACCCAAATAATTATTCCTCAATTCCGAAAAAAATTCGTTAAAAAAAAATGCAGTTTCGAATATAGCGCTAGAATGGATATTTCAATCGAGAGAAGGCCTTTTATCCAGTGGCTGGGCAAAACGTTTATAAACGTGGATAGGTTGGTTGCCGTTGATATTTACGAGGCGACGAGGCATAAGTAACACTGTTTGTGGCAATTTCTTGTTTCCATTAGGTTCACCGGCCTGCGGGCTACAATCTCCTCCTCTATACTGCTTGGTATACTATCCCTCAACGAGACCCTCAACCCCCTCCGCCCCTCCATTCGCGCTAGTTGAAACCGTCGCGCAACTTTAACACAAGCAAACGATGCCGTAGCCCCTTCCGCCCTCTCCCCCCGCGTAACCCTACATACACGACCTTAGATTCACTGAACAGAATCAAATGACGCGCATCACCGCCCACAATAACGGTTTCCCCCTTTTGCCGTGTACCCCCCTACCCCCATTCGCCCCCCTCCCCCGCCCGCCGCCCCCAACCCCTTGTCAACATAGCGGTATCAAGGCGCTATTACGCTCATTTATTTTCGGTTTAATCTTTCATTTTTTGGGGCGATTTTTCAAACCTCTGTGTTTTTTTTTTCAGGGGAAACAGCGGCGGGAGAGGGGAGAAGATTAATTTCGTGACTTTTCAATCTGCTATTCTATAACTGACAATTTCGTGTAAATGCGATCAAGTGCCCGGGCAGCCAGCGGAGCGTTGCAGCCACATTGGCGTTAAATACGAGTAATCCATTTGACACTTGGGTTTTAGTGATAATAATTATTTCTGGGGTAATACGGGGTTTTGGGGTTTTTTTGGTTGGGAACAAGTGGAGGGGATTTTTCGGGCTTTTTGGGGGAGACGAGGTTAGGGTTTTTTAGGGAGAGGGGCCTGTGGAAATGATGAGTATTATCATCATTTTTAGGTGTGACGGTTTTTCTGGTAATTTGTTTATTTATTTTTTTTAACCATTTATTTTATAATTTCAACTGTTGTTCATTTCGGGTATTTAGTCATTGTATTTCATTGATATTCATTTATCCGTTAATTTATTTGTTGAGGGTTCAATGCTTGGAGATATTTATTGAGTGATAATTTTTTTTAAACTGGAATTCTGTCACTGAAAATTCTGAATTCGATTCAAAAAATTAATAGAAGCTACATTTCTGTGAAATTTTTCCTGAAAAATCAATCGATATCCGAAAAATGCAGGAAAATATACTCTCGAATTTATTATTCATTGAAAACAACGCGTCATTTGCTTCAATATTCATGCTCTCATTAAAAAATTAATTGAGTTGTAAAATGTTTTCATTATTTTTTCCCTCCCAATGCAAATGAAACATCTCTCTCCTAAAAATCACTAATAAACAGCCCCTAAAATTTAAATTATTTTCTTACCAATTAATATTCCCCAGGATAACATTCATTCCTGCGATTAATAAAGTGTTTGCTAATTGTTTTGTTTAAAAGAAAATGTCGATTACACAGTTCATAAATTCACATTCTGAATTCACTGACTGTTTTCATTGACTTCGAAGTCTTGTATCTGACACAAAAATATTTTGAAATTGGTTATGACAGCTGGAGCCGAAGAACAAAAGACAATTGGACATTGTCATCGAATTGTCCTGAATTAAACGAAAAGGGGATTCATGTAACAGAAGGGAGTAAGATTAATTAGAGCATTGTTTGAGAGGGCATTCATGGCTCACCGTTAGCTATTATTCCACAATAACTGTATCACAGTGTGAATGCAGAGGGGCCAGTCTATCCAACGCGTAATAAACACACCCAATTATCCCGGACAATTTCTGCAATTTTGGATTTTGGCGATAAATACCGGGACTGCAATTTTCCCCATCACTCGGTCATGATTTGCCCAATAACTGTCGGAATAAGGAGATCCGCGGGAAAAAAGAACAATCGATGGCCTCATACGAGCGATCTTTGGACGGAAAAATTCAGGGGGGGAGAGAAATATTAGGCGTCTTAGCTGATGTTTGATACCCACCCGCAATATCGTAAATAAAGGTATAAATAAAAATGGAAAGCCGGGGGCCATTATGAAAGTTGAAAAGTATGACGCATATGGCTGTTTGGAACTGATATCTCAAAGAACACGCCTTCCATGTACAGACATTTATTTTCATTAAGTGTTGAAAATTTTATGGCTCAAGTTGCAGGAAAAACTCTCAATCTAAATAGAAAAATTAATAAATACAATGGAATTGAGTCTAATTAAATGAATAAATGTATTTTTTTCTCCAGCAGAACAGATATTCCCGTTAAAAAAAATAAACTGGAAGAAGTTGATGACAAATTAGAGGAAAACCCTCTTTTGAATTGAAACAGAATAATTTAATGAATAAAATACAATTAATTATAGTGAATTATCTTGAAATGACGTCGAGATACTTCCAACAGAAGAGATCCTCCGATCTGATAAATAAACGTTAAGAAGCTGATGACTAATCCGCGCATTGTGTCCCGAATCCTATACCCCGAGGTATACAAACAGCAATATCGACGAATCTCCCCCGGGCGAGCTACCTTTTTGATCAAAATAGGAGTCTCATTCATGGGCCCTTTCTTCGGTTGTTATTGTCCCCGAGACATTGCGTGAGATAAACATGTCCGTTTCACAAATGAGAATGACTTGGCCCCTCACGAATTCTTTCTATCAAATATACTCGAGTATTGGAAAGTAAGTGGAGCAAACAGAAACGTATCAGACGCAATAAAAATATCAACGATATTCTTAACGTTTATTTTATTGTTATGTGATATAATACAAAAATAAAAAAAAACTCTTCAACTATTTGTCAATTAAATTCTACTAAATTGTTCTGCAACCACTAGTAATTCCAATTTTTTTCACTTCTTCAATTTCCAGGTCTAGCTACTTCAGAAAATTATTTCACAGACTCTAATAAATTGATAAAAAAGAATTGTTTTCCCCTCTCGAAACACTATTCAACATTTTTGAATATTAGAAAATAGTAAGCGGAATGACCTGAAATATTTCAGACACAAAAAAACCTTTCAACTGTAAAAACAATGTTTTTGACAGTTATGTTATTCTCAATTAATATAAAAAGTGGAAAAAAACTCTTTTCAATTATTAGTCAATTAGATTCTATGAAATTTTCCTGCAACAACCAACAATTTCAATTTTTTTGTCCCTTCAATCCCCATAACTGTCTCATTTTCCCAAAAACTTTAGTTCCCGCAATTTAATCATTTGATAAAAAAATTGTCAATAATTCTTTCAATTATTTATCCACAAATTTCATGATTAAAACCATCCAATGTCATCTCTTTCTCTCCAACACTCCAATTCCCACCACTTCATCCCCCTCGCACAATGGCTTCCCCTCCCCCGCCCCTTCCCCAACCACGTAATACACTAGACAGCATAACACGTTTTAGATGTAATAATGTGTATAACTCCCTGCATCCTCCTCCGCGAAAGCGACGAGGAAGTGGCTTGCGCCAAAGTTAAATTAAATCATTACGTTAGCATCTAATATTATAGTTTATCTAGTAAGACATTAGCGGGGAGCCATGAAATATGCCTCCACTCAACACAACTTAAAATCAAGATTCTTCGAGTTAACATTTTCCCCCATCCCATGACTGTGTCTTCGTGCACAGAAGCTCGCGCTATTTCCTGCTAACTCGAGTATGAAAATATTAATTATCATTGGGATTATTAATATGAAAACTTTGCGGAGAAATTTTGGATAAGGACTTCTGGCATACGTGGAGGCCATTATGTCTTAGACTTTGAGATTTATTCAATGGGATTATTGGGGATTATTTATTCAGAATTTTATTCATATTTTTGTAAAATACCAATTCATGAAAAAAATAGGTGAAATTTCAAATTTTTCACATCAATTAATATTTTCCAGAATAATATTCATAAATTAAGTTTTTGGTAATTGAAAATGTCGATGACATTTATAAATTCCTATTCTGATTAATTGACTTCGAAGTCTTTTACATTTACCACAAGAATATTTCGAAATTGGTCATTACAGCTGGAGCAAGAATAAAACTCAATTGAAATATCCCGGAATTATCGTAAATTAGACGAAAAGAAGATTATGTATTCAAAAGTTTATTAAAAAAATAAACCAATATATGACAGTAAAATGAGGTAAACACGGATTTTATTCATCTGCTGGCGTTAATTAATCCGTCTGATGAGATTTCAGTGAGCTCTCTTCTCCCCCTCTCTAGTTATTACATTTCTATTCCGTTAAACCCCATTAATTAGTCTCAAGTACAAGATCACTAGTGTAAACCTGTTCAAGCTAGCGTGGCTTTTTGATTCTTCCCCAGACCTTCTGGAGCATTCTCTCCCTCCAGAAATCGATTGTATCTGAAAATGAAAATCGAAGACCAACAATTTCAGTTCAATGTTCTATTGCGACATTTAAAGTCGAAAAAAACTCGACAAAAACGTCTCAAATGCAATTATCTCACTCCCCATGTCAATTCAAAGGTTTTTTATTCATGTAACACTCACATCCTATTAAATTTGTTAATTTCCCCAGTCGTCAGAGACGGTTGAGTGTCCTCCAGCGATCGAATCAACATGTCCTGAGTGATCCTCATCCCCTCCAAGCTCTGAATAAAGAAAATAATTCGAGTTTTGTCGGGGAAAAATACGTCGAGAGTGCATTATAATAACGCATGAGATAAGGAATAAGCTCCTCGACAATCAGCCAGGCGTATCCTGTGATGAAGGGGGCCACACTGGGGGGAGTGCCCTGGCATGCGCTAATGAAGCTGCCAACGCTCGGTATCCCCAGTTATATTACATACCTACTTATCTAAGTACTAAGTAACTGAAGATAACTGCTCGCGATATCATCAGAATCCGTTATTAATTTTCCAACGTGGGTACAGGCAAGAATGCTCGGGATTTAATTAAATTTGAACGGATTCTATTCTCAATAATTCATCTCGTTTCGATAATTCTAATGTTCAATAATTTCTCCTCACTTGGAAAATCGAAAAAAAATTGTTGGCAAAATCGTTAAAAATTTTCATTGAATGAAGGAAATTTATGAATGAATAGGTAAATGAAATTTTTGATGCTTTATTCATTAAAAAATCATGCATTCATTCATTTATCAATAAAAGTCAATATCAATTTGTCAATGCTAATTTTTTTTATTTATCAATTTCTTCTCACTTGGTGAATCGAAAAAAAACGGTTAATAAATTTAAATCGTTAGAAATTTCCATTGAAGGAAATTTATGAATGAATAGGTAAATGAAATTTTTGATGCTTTATTCATTAAAAAATCATGCATTCATTCATTTATCAATAAAAGTCAATATCAATTTGTCAATGCTAATTTTTTTTATTTATCAATTTCTTCTCACTTGGTGAATCGAAAAAAAACGGTTAATAAATTTAAATCGTTAGAAATTTCCATTGAAGGAAATTTATGAATGAATAGGTAAATGAAATTTTTGATGCTTTATTCATTAAAAAATCATGCATTCATTCATTTATCAATAAAAGTCAATATCAATTTGTCAATGCTAATTTTTTTTATTTATCAATTTCTTCTCACTTGGTGAATCGAAAAAAAACGGTTAATAAATTTAAATCGTTAGAAATTTCCATTGAAGGAAATTTATGAATGAATAGGTAAATGAAATTTTTGATGCTTTATTCATTAAAAAATCATGCATTCATTCATTTATCAATAAAAGTCAATATCAATTTGTCAATTCTAATTTTTTTTATTTATCAATTTCTTCTCACTTGGTGAATCGAAAAAAAACGGTTAATAAATTCAAATCGTTAAAAATTTCCATTGAAGGAAATTTATGAATGAATAGGTAAATGAAATTTTTGATGCTTTATTCATTAAAAAATCATGCATTCATTCATTTATCAATAAAAGTCAATATCAATTTGTCAATTCTAATTTTTTTTATTTATCAATTTCTTCTCACTTGGTGAATCGAAAAAAAACGGTTAATAAATTCAAATCGTTAAAAATTTCCATTGAAGGAAATTTATGAATGAATAGGTAAATGAAATTTTTGATGCTTTATTCATTAAAAAATCATGCATTCATTCATTTATCAATAAAAGTCAATATCAATTTGTCAATGCTAATTTTTTTTATTTATCAATTTCTTCTCACTTGGTGAATCGAAAAAAAACGGTTAATAAATTCAAATCGTTAAAAATTTCCATTGAAGGAAATTTATGAATGAATGGGTGATCGAATTTCTTGTGTACTTTATTCATTAAAAAAATCATGCACTCATTCATTAATTTATTAATAAAAATTAAAGGAACAGTGCTCACACAAGATTTTTCCAAATGCCCCTCCACAGCATCCAACCGAGCCTGTGTGATAACAGCATTGAGATCGGCTCCAGTAAAACCACTCGTCATTTTTGCCAATGTCATGAGGTCAAGATCTTCCACATCGATGGCCTGACGTTTGCACAAGGTATCAAGGATTGTCGCCCTTGTTTGCTCATCCGGAAGTGGACAGAGTAACGATTTGTCAAGACGACCCGGCCTGAGTAATGCCGGATCCAAGAGATCGGGCCTCGATGAGGCTGCCACGATAGCAACTCCTTCGCGACCCTCGACACCATCGAATTGGGTCAAAAGTTGATTTACCACTCGGTCTGTTACACCGGTGGAGTCATGGCCTCGTCTGAGATGAAGTTATAAATAGGTAATCGGGTTTGAATTTATTGTTGCTATTTATTTGACATTAATCTAAGAAATTAAAAAATTGCGATGGAAAAACAGGACTTGAAAATTGAATGAACGAATTAACGAATAAAATAAAATAAAATGAATAAACATTCAAAAAAATATATTTTCCTTAATTTTCAAGATCAATAAAATTTCGTGAATGTTTTGATCTTAAATTCAATTCATTTTTGAAATGCAGACAAATTTTCATTTTATTCGTTTTTTATTGCCTGAAAAACGTCTACAAAAGGTTTATAAACTTGAGGGCATCGCTAAAATCCTCAAATAAATAAATAACTAAATAGATAAAACATCGCCCCATAAAAACATTAATTTCCCGAGTTCTTACCTCGGCGCTAAACTCTCGAATTCATCAAAAAACACGATGCAAGGCCTGATCCTCCGCGCCTTCTCGAAGACACTCCTCACAGCCTCCTCGCTGGCCCCGATGTACTTCGACAGCAGCTCCGGCCCCTTGATATTAATAAAATTCAGTCCACACTCCTTCGCAATGGCACCCGCGAGCAAAGTCTTCCCAGTCCCGGGCATTCCATACAGCAGAATCCCACTCTGGTGCCTCACAGGCGCCTTCGCGAACAGTCCCGGGTACATCAGGGGCCACTGGAGCATCTGCCTGAGGGTCTCCTTGACCTCCTCGAGGCCCCCGATGTCCCCCCAGCCGCTCCCCTCGCCGGAGAAGAGCGCGACCCCATAGAGAGACAACGGCTTGATCCCGTCGAGGGCCTCCGACAAATCCCCGTTCTCCAGAAGGACTGGACACCCTCGCCGCCTCCAGGCGATAAACACTGACTTCTCGCATAAATCCGCAAGATCCTGGAACACCCAGCCCTCAGTTTTCCCCGAATAAAACTCCCAATCAATTCCCTCCGAAATTTCCGCTTTCCCCCGCAATTTGAACTTCAAAAACTCCACTCTCTCCTCCGCTGAGAGGCTCGGGAGATCTAAAATCGTCTGGAAGACGTGGACCCCTCGTGAGGGCCGCAGTCCAGCCCCCAGTTTCTCCAGCCGACTGCTGGAGGCCACGACGGAAATAAAATGGGAGGACTGGTAAAGCGCGAAAAGACTGTTCAAGTTTTCTGAAATTCTCGTGGCGTTCAGCGCGTCCGGGGAATTCTCCTCGTTGTCACTCGGGTAACTCGTGATGCTGTCTAAATTGTCCAGGAGTAACACCGAGGGCTGGTAGCACACGCAGTCGCGCAGCGTCGAGCCGAAGAACTTGGAAACTGCGTCCACTTTCTTGCCCTTCAGCTTTTTACAGTCGACGAATATTGTGTGCAGGAAGTTCGGAGGGCTCTCCGTCTTCTGCTGGAGGCAGTTGAGGAGAGTCGTCTTGCCTGTGCCGATGTCCCCGCAGAGCAGTATGTTCTCGCGGGGGAATGGGTACTCCTGGGGGGCCAGGCTCATCTCAAGGATTTTTAGCGAGTCTTCGAGGATTTTTTTGAACGGAGTTTCGTAGACTTCTTGGGGAGGGAAATTCCTCTCGGGGGTTTCTTCATTCAATTGAGGATTTTCGTCTTCAGTTATCTCGATTTTTAGGGTTTTCAGCTTTTGTGCGTTCAGCAGAACGTGAGGTATGTCCTCCGGGTGGAGTTTTATCCGAGATTTTACCTCTCCGAGCGGAATTCGCGAGTTTTGGGAGAGGATTAAATCGTTTTTGGGGGAATGGTGGTGTACGTAATTTCGGAAATTAGTTTCTAGGGTTTTTTCGTCGGAATTCGAAGGGGAGAGGAGTTCTAAAGAGGTAATTAGGGTGTCGACGTTGGTCAGAGGCTCTATGTGGACTTTTGAACCCAAGTGGAGGTGGGAGTAGCTCCTCAGACTCTCCGAGATCCAGATGTTCCTGTCGTCCACATTCGTTCCGGTGAATTCTTCATTGAAGAAATCTTCAACCGGTGAGAGACTCACGATAATCTCCGGGTCAGAGGGACTATTTCTTGGATTATTCGGGGTGAAATTCAAATTGCTGCTCTGCTTTTCAGTGAAGACACTCCTGATCTTCCCGTAAATCATCAAGAAATTCTCCCTCTCGGGGAATAATTCGCGCAATCGGTTCGAGAACACGAAAATATTGTGGGGCGACGATATTTCAGGCTCTAAGATGCCCTCACTCACTCTGTATTTTTCGTCTAATGACACTAAACAAATACGGAATAGCTCGGGGAGCTTCTGACACCTCCGGCTCTTCAGAAAAACCTCGCAATCTGTTTCGGTTTCTTTAGGACATGAGTGCGACGTAATTTCTTTTTTAATTGTATCACCAGGCGTTTTATGTTCCCTCGCGTTCTGAACGTGAACTTCCGTGTAATTCTCGAGTTTTCCGTATAGAAAGGGGGGAGAGATTGACTCTGAAAATGAGATGATAATTTTTTTTCTATTAAAAAATTGTTATTAATAAAATATTATTCGGGGGAAATTCAAATTGCTGCTTTGGTTTTCTTTGAAGACACTCCTGATCTTCTCCACGAGGGAAACGTTTAGTAAAAATTACGGAACTCACAGTTCGCTCACCGATTACGGAATCGACTCAGAAAATTTAAGTGACGGTATCGTAATTTTTCACAGGAGATTCAGGTAAAAATTACGGAACGCTCTGGAAAAATTCCGTGATTGCAGGTAAAAATTACGTGACAGTTCCGTAAAATTTCCTGGAACCACATTTCGCTCCGGAATTGCGAACAAAATACGTAATTTTTATTGAATATTTCTCTCCGTACCGAAAATCATCGAAAAATTCTCCCTCTCAGGGAATAATTCGCGCAATCGGTTCGAGAACACGAAAATATTGTGGGGCGACGATATTTCAGGCTCTGAGATGCCCTCACTCACTCTGTATTTTTCGTCTAATGACACTAAACAAATACGGAATAGCTCGGGGAGCTTCTGACACCTCCGGCTCTTCAGAAAAACCTCGCAATCTGTTTCGGTTTCTTTAGGACATGAGTGCGACGTAATTTCTTTTTTAATTGTATCACCAGGCGTTTTATGTTCCCTCGCGTTCTGAACGTGAACTTCCGTGTAATTCTCGAGTTTTCCGTATAGAAAGGGGGGAGAGATTGACTCTGACAATGAGATGACAATTTTTTTTCTATTAAAAAATTGTTATTAATAAAAGATTATTCGGGGGAAATTCAAATTGCTGCTTTGGTTTTCTTTGAAGACACTCCTGATCTTCCCCACGAGGGAAATGTTTAGTAAAAATTACGGAACTCACAGTTCGCTCACCGATTACGGAATCGACTCAGAAAATTTAAGTGACGGTATCGTAATTTTTCACAGGAGATTCAGGTAAAAATTACGTGACAGTTCCGTAAAATTTCCTGGAACCACATTTCGCTCCGGAATTGCGGACAAAATACGTAATTTTTATTGAACATTTCTCTCCGTGCCGAAAATCATCGAAAAATTCTCCCTCTCAGGGAATAATTCGCGCAATCGTTTCGAGAACACGAAAATATTGTGGGGCGACGATGTTTCAGGCTCTGAGATTGACTCTGAAAATGAGATGATAATTTTTTTTCTATTACAAAATTTGATGAGGAGGAAAAGGGGTTGGAAAGGCTGCACACAGCGCAGGGACACTTCCCACCCACGCAGTACTCCCCCTCTCCTCTTGCTGCCCTTCATCGATCTTGCAATAAAGGCCGACGGCTGTTTTATAACGGCGGGGTGACTTCGTCAAATATGGACCGAATTCCAATTTATTCACGTTTTTGTTGGATAAGGGAATTTATTTTTTTTCGGGGTTTACTTTCAACTCGTGATTTGTATTCTGGAATTGCAAGGAGTATACCCGATATTTTAATTGAGGAATTTTTATTTTTTATGATTTTTATATTTTGTTCGTTTGTTAATTTGACGTTTTAGGATTTTATGAGGAAAATAGGAACTTCATTTTTAGTTATTTCATCTTATTTCTTTTTTTTTTGTAACTGATTTTATTTTTTGGGGGTTTATTTTAACTTTCAATTTTTTTGTTTATGAATTTAAAAATTGTTTTGATTGTGATGATTCGATGTCGCCTTCTATTTGTTGTAAAATTATTTTGATTCATTTTTTTTTCATTGGGTGTCAAGTGAAAATGATTGGTGTTGAAACGTAAAGAACAATTTGCAAATAATTATGGAAAATAATATTCATCGCCGCCAACTCTCTGCCAACCCAGATGAGAATTTATAACACTGCGGTAGCTTCATCAGATATGGATCGAAATTTTAAATTTATTTATTTTTCAGGGCACGAAGAAATTTTTTTTTTTTAGAATTTACTCCAACCCACAATTTTTCATTTTGTTAATTCAAGGATTGTTTTAAAATTGCGGGAATTCTATTCGTTTTCTTATTGATGATGAAAATAAGAGCTCCGTTTTTATTGATTTCATCCTGTTTCTTTTTTTATTGTAATTGATTTTTTTTGAGGGCTCGTTTTACCTTGCAATTTTTTATTGTATTAATTCAAGGATTTTTTCAATGGTGAATTTCCTACTCGCCTTTCTATGTTCCATAGAAATAAGAATTTCTTTATCGAAACAAAAAACGAAAGAAATTGATTTTTTTCTGTCGATTATAAAGTGAAAATAATTAGTCTTAAAACCACGAAACCTGTGGACGCCACAACTAACTATAAAAAAATATTTATAGACTTGCCAACAAGTAGAGTAACACTCAGGTACTTGGAAAGCCACACGACAATTGGTTGTCCTGAAGCCACGATATTTATTTGGTCTAGTAGTGTCGACTGAATTTTATCAGCTTGCAGATTCTGCATAATACAACGAAGAAAATAATTCAGATAAAAATTCCATCTTCAGTGGTTTAATAATTTACTAACAAAGCGTGATTAATCATGAACTCACAACAATCTGCCAGTCCTCAGAGTTGACAGGTCGTACATTAACGTTTGTCAGTGCAGGTGGATCAGAAATATACGAAACACTGACCTCTGCCCCCTCTTTTATTTGTAAACATTTTCCAAACGTTGCACTTATGCACAGAAAGTCAGCTGGACTGGACTGTGATTGAAAAGGAGAAAAATAGAATTCTTTTCCTTCGTTTGACAGTTTTATTACGCCCACCTGCACAATTATTGTTTACACTCCATCAATATTTTTATTCATTGTTAAATCAATTGTTCATTACAATATTTTTACCTTAGAGGATAATTTACGGTGCCAGGAACTCGGCAACAGCAGGAAACAATTTTTCACTGACACATATTTAACAATAAACCGTTCATTTTGCATTTTTCCAGTTATTTATATCAATTCCACTCAGAAAAACGAAGTAATTGACATTTATTTGGGGTTCACAGGTACCATCGAGTCAATCCTAACCTTAACTCATCATTTTTTACGCTGTTATCAACGAATTATTCATCAAAAACCCCTGACTCAAGTTTTCTCATACTCAAAAAAGATACATAAATTCTAATAATTCTGTTACATAAACCAATAGAGGCTCATCCCATTTTTACTCCAAAGTGAGCGTGAATGTTGACATTTAGACCGGGAGACAAACTCCGGTGACCTTGGAATCAGCTGTTGACCGACTGAAGAGGGAAACAATTCTAATTTTCAATATTTGAAAACTCACACGTCAAAATAACTTTCATACCTCAATTTATTCTTAAAAAAATGGCATAAATGTTTATAATTAAATAATTAATAATAATAATAATTAATGATAATTAATTTTGCCCATCAATTAATGAAGTAATGAATTTCCTACTGTTTAAAAACATAAAACGAAATAAAAACGAGTAAAATCATAAAGCAATAAATAAGCTTCTTCACCGCGGCAGCAGTGGCCCCCTCAATACTCCTGATTATCTGATTATTCATAACGAACACTACTTTGCTCTCCTCTATCAACTGGCTTTTCGTCTGTTCATCCAGACCCTCCGCCAAAGCGTTCATTTTATTCCTGAGGTTTTTCTTCAATCGATAAATCGAATTGTCCCCAAAATCTGTTACGTGACTTCCCTCTAGTTTGAAGGAGGATTTGTAAGGGGTTACGATCTGGATGAGTTGTCGCCTTTTTCGGAGAATTAGTCCACCGCTCAAGAGGCCCATGTAGAGGTGGTAAACGTAGGCCAAGAGGAGAATCGGTTTTTTAGATTTTAGAGTTTTTAAGTGGTTTAAGTAACTGATTACACTTTCCCTGAAATGAAACATGGGAATTAATTTATTGTTATTTTTATTAGTGAGGATATTCATTTATTAATTTGGGTAAAAATAAATAAAAACATTAATTAGTTAATTAATCAATTAATTATTTATTTATTTGTTTATTTATTGAATTATTAATTACAGAATCAAATAACATGAAAATTATTATTTACCTTGGAGTATAATTTTTATTCCAGTTCTTCCCTAAATAAAAATTTAAATCCTTCTCGAATGCTTTAGTTACCTCCATCTCTGGAGGTATTAAATTATCAATTTCATACTTCTTCGCTATTCCAGGCATTGCTTTCTCCAAATACTTGAAGATTTCGTAGAACACTAGGAGACCGTCTGCCCAAACGCGATCATTCTGCACACCTAAACGCAGAAAATAAATAGAATTACAAATTATTTTAAAACTTGAGTAAACCCCATTTTTTTATTAATTAAACTCACTAAATGCCAATTTAGCGTTCACCACAGCATCACTCACAGCATGAATTTGCCGAGTTGCTGCTCTCATTTGTTTGCAGAAGGTATCACCCTTAGACTCCCCCATTGTGCAGTAAAATCAAAATCACTTCGATTTGTTTTTAGGAAGAATGAATAAACTTTCAGCTTTTAGTGATGAACGAGATCACTCTACGCAGGATAAAATCATTACAGAGAAGCTCATGTGGTGCCATCTACCCCAGAAGATTAAACAAAAAAACATACAACTTTTCAATTTTTTACTACCTTATTTAATTCATTATTTATAATTTATTGCAAATCGGACTTTTCTGCGAGAATTAATTTTTTATCTGAATCTATCACCCTTTGGCAGTACAGAAAGTATCCTCATTTTTTTATACAATTATTTATAAATTTTTAAACAATTACTTACCTAGTGACACCTCCAATTTTTTTAATTATGGATTTTTTAAAATTTTTTACTCTTGTGTGGAAATTTTTCTAGATACTTTTCCAATTTATATCGAAATTAAAAATAAAAGAAATGAACATTTTCCAGTGGAGCCAATAATAATTAATTCCATTTCGTCCATTATTTTTTTTTCTACACAACGTTCACACAAATTGTAAAAGTCATGCTAAAAAAACTAAAAAGGATTGACTTGTCCTAAACTGCACTCGCCCATATCTTGAAAAAAATTTATTTCCATTTTTCATATATAATTTCAACATAAAAACAAAAATAAAAAAAAGGAGTACATGAGCTGCGGCACTGAGATCACATCCTTAATACTTAATCCAAATGGCGTTTTATCATCAATATCACATGTCAAGTATCATAAATCATAGAGTAGAATTCAATTTCGTTTTTACATAAGGAAGAAATTCAATGGAAAATTAAATACAATTTAGCACCGCTTGTCTGTCGAATGAGAAGTCCATCCAGCCTCTGGGTTGGAATTGATAGATATCGCAGGACTCGTGGGAATTGAGGTGCATTTTTCTCACTGCATCGTTCAGCAGGGTGTGCACATTCTTCTCTCTTCTGTCGGTTTCAAACCGAGATTTTCGCTGATTTTGCTTGACGAACGTCTGAGTCTCAACCCTTGGGCTGTCAATTAATTGCTTGGCGAGGGCTGATGGGGATTTTGTGCTTCTATCGTCACCTGGCTCACCAAATAGATTTCGTTTGATCGCTCCTTTTGAATTTTTATCGGAATTCTTGGGCAGATTTTTGTTCATTGCTGTACGACGATGACCCATTGGGGAAGTGTTGGACTGACGTTCGTTCTTCATATCAGAGCATCCATTCTGCAAAAATAAAATTATTCAACTAATTAATTCCTCCACTTTTTGCTTCTTCTATTATTCAATTTCTTTTAATTATTGAATTATTTACATCACATGTGAAAATTAAATTGGAATAGAATTTATATTATCTTTATTGACTATTTCAATCGCAGACGATTGATAATTGCATTCAACGATTGATGTTAATTAAATTTAGAGGAATAAATATTCAAAATTTTTCATCTTAATTTTATTCTTTATCATTTTCTTTGCGATAAAAAATTCATGTAGTTGTCTATTCTACGAACCTGCAGCTGAAGCCCTTGGCGTCTGTTTCTCGTTCCACTCTCAGCCTCCCCAAGGGACTTGTGCCTATGTCTCTTGGCAGTTGTTGACAATTGCTTGTCCTTCTGCTGTTTCTCCAGAACCCATCGTTTCATTCGTCTGGATAAAAAAGCCATGAAAAATCTTAATTTCAAAGACTTTATCTTTAATCAAATACAACGCAATTCAATTCAGAAAGAGAAATGTATAATTTCTGCTCAGGGCATTATGAAAACCCATTCCATTCCATTCTATAGGAATAAAATAAAAAATTAATACGAATTGCTATTCTAAGTGAAATTAATAGTGTCACAATTGTTGATATATTAATAATTATTTTTCTAGTCCATATCTGAAAATTATGAGTAGACTGTTGACATTTTTTTCTTGAACTTTTCACTACACTTCTAAGCAATTTTCATCATATTATTTTAGTTGGAGAATCCTCGTCTTCCTGCTATTCAAACACTTGAAATTGCATTAATATTAGTGAATTTTTTTATTTATATTAAAAAATATAAGTAAAAATTACACTAATATTAACGAAAAATTAAAAACGCAATTTTCAGGGAAATCTGACATTTCGTAATTTTTGTTCTCTCTGAATTGAATTCAATGTCACTCTTCTGAAAATTATTAGTCAATTCAATCCATGAAATTTGAATTTTTTCAAAGCCTCAAAGCCTAAAAATAAAGGGCTTTCTAATTCAAATTCTCCAATTGCCCTCAATTCTCAACGTTCAGTGTCAATATTCACCTGACAAAAGGAACAACCATGAAAAATGCATTTGGTCCCACCCCCATCTTGACCTTGGGCGTCATGTCCTTAGGATTATTGGGCAAATCCATGAGTGAGAACCACTCAACACTCTTAATCTCCTTCCTCGTCCTGGGCATGAACTTGGTATCTTTCTGTACCCCAGTAATAATGTACAACCTGACGAGTCTGTCATTAATAGTCGACTCGATGTACTCGTTCTTATCAATCAGCTTGGAGATGTCGAAGCCAGTCTCCTCCAGGACCTCGCGAACAGCGCAGTGGCTGGGATCCTCGTCCTCATTGACTTTGCCCTTGGGAAAACCCCAGCTGTTCTTCGCCCAGTAGTTCTGCACCAACAGTACCTTCGTCATGTCCTCATTCAGGACAATCGCCCCGAATGTCGGCACACTCTGCTTGTACTCCCTCCACTGCTCCAGCACAGAATCTATTCGAGAGAGATTTGGCTGCAGGAAGGGGATGTGATTGAATATGTGGGTTGCAAACTCTTTCATTCCACATGAGTGGAGATTACGGGGGTTCTCCTCGGTGCAGTAGAAGTCAATGTAGAACCAGTGGGCTAGTTCTATTTGAAAGCAGATTCTCACCAGGTCTTTTCGCCCCTCTTCAGGTACGTTTATGATGAAACGACTAGATAATTTAAAAATTCCATGGACAGACTCGTGAGATTTTTTAAATTAGTCACTCATTTTTTGAAAGACTTTAGAAACATGAATAGTAATAATTTCGCCTGACCAATGGTATGTTTTGATGAATCAAGAGTCATTTTCAAGCTCAAAAATATACCGGGAGAATGAAAACAATAGAGAATTCTACTCGGATATTCTTGAGCTGTTTAGAGGAGAATTAAAAACGTTTATTTTACCTCACTCCCTCTCACATTGTTTTTACTCCAATCCTTGAAAATTAATTTAAATTGGTGAATTAAAATTTTTATCGAAGAACAAAGGGAATAACATCTTTTTCAATTGCCAATTTATTTTTCAAAGGGATAAAAAAAATAACAATTAATAAAACGAACAGTGTTAAATCCTCAATATCTCCTGGTCAAATTTTATGATTCTGTTAAATGAGCTCATTTTGAAGCTTAAAAAAATTTCTGAAGAAAAAATGGAGAATTCTACTCTTGAGTTGTGGATGATTAAAAGCGGTTCGTTCTATTCCCTTTGATAATAAATTTCGATCGTTAAATTAAAATTCAAATCGAGGAAACAACAATGACATCTTCAGGTGCACTGTTAACAACTCCCCTCCTAATTAATTCAAACTCCAAACGAGCAATTAATTTTCTAAACCTCAAAAAATACGAATGAAAATAAGAGGCAACGTCTTCAACCGTGAGTATCTCCCGACAAATGATCCAATTCGCATGAATCACGTCTCATTTCGGAGCTGAAAAAAATCCTCAAACCAAAAAAAAATCAGGAAATTCCACTCTCCCATTCTCCACTTATTGGCAATAAAATACAGTCCATCCACAACACTCACTCTCCCCAAAAATCCACTCACTCCATTCCTTAGTGATTAATTCAAACCGACTAGTGAAAATTGCCTCAAAAAAACTCAAAACAACATTCTAAACACCTCCAGATGTGGACGAGTGGCAAACTAACCTGCTCAGGTCATCGAGAATGTCCAGTGGAATTCCGTGTTGTGACATTATTCACCGAGTTAGTTGTTCTCCCAATCGTCACAAGTATTTAGAACCTCTTTTCTATTAATTTTCTGTTGTCCTCTCTCCTTTGTTACGAAATAATGACGTAAAAATCATTGGAGAGCGTCGAACTGCGTCACTGGGTCGAAAAGAAAAACAATGAATGTGATTTCGGCGTCTTGGCCCTCTGGGTGGGGCTCCGGTAAATTTCGGCCACAAACTGTAGCGTTTCTACTCCCCCCTGTCGCGAATCCCAACGTCCAATGGGCGTTCAGGCATCAGGACTGAAGTACAGTCGACACAAGCGTCAAAATTATTGTCTCCTTCAAATAAACCACCGGGAAAGGCGCAAATCACGGCTAAAAGCCGAGTTTAATCATTAAAAAACGTTCGGTAATTCGTTTTAACGAGTTTTCTGTCGGTAATCGGTCCGGGGAAGGAATCCGCGCGTTTCCTTTCATCGGTTTTTCGACATTTTACGTTTTTGTATAGACCCAACTGTACACAATTCGCTGGAACTCCTGTGGATTGTAGCACAGAAATTGACAATGCTCGACGCCCAATTCTCGTTGTTTCAATGAAACAATTGACGAAAAGTTTGTGATTCTGCGGTGAATGTGAACTGGGGGTGACGTTCAAGGTGTTTGTGGAGATGAAGAGGCTCCAGGTGGGTGATGGACTGTTATAAGTTGTGAAATTCGGGGAAAAGACGGTGGACAAAAGATTTCCACGGACTGTACAGCTGATGGAGTTTTATTGACTGGTGACGACTGATAAATATTCAATTTTTGTGAGTTATTTTTTTTATAAAACATAATTTTTCTGGTATCTGCCATTTTTTTGACTCGAAAGACTCGAATAATACGAAATTTTTGGATTTTTTGTCCGAACATATCACATTAATCCGCGATTTTACAAATAAATAATGACAATCGACTCTTCAGTATTACATGTCCTTATTTAAACGACTTTTTATCGGTATTTGAATGCACAAAATAAATTTGGACTCCGAGGATAATGTTTACAACTGTGATCACGTGGGCTTTTTGTCTTGTGACTCGTGACATGACAATTGTGGGGGGGAAATTCAAATAAATCAGTGGTGGGATGAATTGAGTGAGTGCTTGATCCTGTGGGGGTGCTTGATAATTTCTGAAAAATGGGGAAGACGAGGGGAGTGCATGAGACCACTCCAGAGCTGAGGAATCGAATGGTTGGGATGTACGAAGCTGGGCTTGGGCTTCGGGAGATTGCAGCTGCGATCAATTGTTCAGTAAGTTCTGTTGGCCATTCTTATCTATTTTTTAATCCTATGTAATTTGAAAATTTTCCTTTTCAACAACAAGTGTTTATCAGGGTTTATTCATCTGTCAGTTATTGATTCAATCCAGAAGACATTTTTTCAAAATACTCCAATATTCCATAATTTTTCTAATTTCAATTAAAATCTCTTTAATTCAGTAGCGAAGCGGTAAACCGGGTTAAGTCGTTTTTTACTATTGGCTAGTTTTTGACGAATATCTCGGAATCTAAAAGAGATAGAAAGATTTTTGTCATGACCTTTTTTGTAGAGCTAATAAAGCGTTATAAAAAAAGTCATGAGAAAAATTTTGCTATCTCTCTTAGATTCCGAGATATTCAGCAAAAACTGGCTAATAGTCAAAATCGACTTAACTCGGTTTACCGCTTCACTACTGAATTTTACCTTTGGGTTTTAAAAAACGAAAAATAATCATTAAAATCTCTCTGTTCATCTCAGAACTTCCGTTGAAAATTCAAATTTTAATAAAAAGGGACCTCTCGGTATTTCTTCACCTGTATTTATTTAACCCAGAAGCCACTCGTCATCGGAATAATCTAATATTGACGAACATCGACTCATTTTTGAACATTTCCTCACTAAATTCTACTTTTTGTCTTTCAAAAAATGAAAAAAATTCTCAATACCTCATAAAAACTCATCCAACATTCATTCCTTTCATTTTCGTAGAAACTTAAATTTCATCAAAATTTCCTTAACATTTGTGCAGAACTCTGTATTCTTCCCAGAACTTCTGTAAAAAATTCCATTTCCAACAAAAATGTCTCTTAGCATTTACCAATCTGCATTTATTCAGCCGAGAAGCCACTCTTCATCGAAATCCTCCAAAATGTCCCAAGATCGACTGATTTTCCAACTTTTCACCCCTAAATTCTCCTGTTCGTGTTTCGCCAAACGAAAAAAATCATCAAAACCAGAATTCCAAACAAAAAGTGTCTCTACACATTAATCTATCTATTTTTATTCCCCCCAAGCCCTGTTTTCCTCAAAATCCTCCAAACTCCACTTCATTCTTCACCACCTTCTTCAACATTCCCCACCAAATCCCCCTTTCGTCCCTCACAAACCGAATCATAATCCTCAAACCCCACGAAGACCCCCAGAAATAACCCCCTAAATTCTAAATTCCAGCAAAGAACAGTGAAACGCTGGCTGAACCGTTTCGACAAAGAAGGCACAGTAGAGACTCGCGAGCGATGCGGTCGAAAGCGCGCGACAACGAGCGAGCAGGACGACGCAATAGTCCGGCTAGCCACACAGACCCCAATAACGGCAGCCAAGGCAGTGCTCCCGGCCCTAGGCCTCAACTGCTCGGTGGACACAATTCGCGAGCGTCTGCACAAGGCAGGAATCCACAACTGGAGTCCCTCGCGCAAGCACATCCAGAGGATTCCCCTGGGCGAGGCGGAGGGTGCAGCCCTGCAGCAGGCAGTCTGGCGCCCTACAGGCACCCAACTGGGTAAAAAGAAGAGCGCGAAGGTGCCCGCAAGAGCCAAGCCAGCGACTCCAAAAGTGAAGAAGAAAAAACCAGTGAAGAAAACTCCTGCGAAGGAAGCCAGGGCCCCTGAGGCCCCTGAGAAGCAGCTGGAGGCCCCCCAGATGGCCTTCAACCCCCCCCAGGCTGTCCACTGCAGCGACCTGGCCCCTCTCGCGCCCCCAATAATAAGCCCCCAGAGCCAATTCCACCCCCAGCCTGTGCCCAACCCCCAGCAGATGTACCCCCAGCACCCAGACCTCAACATGTCCCAAAACTGGCCCCTGGACCTGGTGCAAGCCCCCCCCAACCAGAACCAGTACCTCCAGAGCACTGGGAACCTCCCCCCGACGTCCTCCCACCTCCAGGAGTTGTACCCCCAGAGCAATCACCTCCAGCATCACCCACTGGAGCCCCAGCAGATGAGCCTCAACCTGAACCCTCGTAAACCAGTGAACATCTCTGAGGGCTCATCCAGCTCGAGTTCATCGAGTGAGATCCAGGAGATCGACGATTCCCTGAGGGACACTGCAGCACCTGCTGGAGGATCAGAGCAGAGCTTGACAGAAGATCAGACTGATGCAAACGCAGAGAAGAGGAAGAAGGGAGGTAAGGCCAAGGGCACCCTGGAGACATCAGTGGAGCTCAGGAACAGGATGATTGGCATGTCCCAGGCTGGATTATCAACGCTGTCGATAGCCCTCGCCATCAGCAGATCCGAGAGGACTGTGAAGCGGTGGCTGGAGCGCTGGAGGAAGGAGGGCAACGTCCAGACGAAGGAGAGAAAAGGGAGGAAGAGGATCACCACGAAGGAGCAGGACGATGCCATCATTGCTATGGCCACGCAGAGCCCTCTGACAGCTGCTAAACACGTGGCTCCAGCCCTGGGGCTCAACTGCTCCGTCGACACCATCAGGGAGAGGCTCCACAAGGCGGGCATTCACAGCTGGAAACTCGGGAAGAAGCAGGGGGAGGGCAATGCCGTGCACACGGTGCATCTCTGGCAGCCCAGTGGGAACAGGCCGAACAGGCCCAGGATTCTGAGGAAGAACAGCGGGAAAAAGGCGGGGGGGAAGAAGCTGGAGGCCTGCAAGAGGACCCCTGGCAAGAGGAAAACCAAGAAAAGTCAGGGGAAGACGAACAGTCTCGAGGACGAGGGATCTGTCCCTAATGTCCAGGTTGAGAGTGTTCAGGCGCCTCAGGTGCCCAGCATTGAACAGGGGAATATGCAGTTTCATGACGAGGGGATGAGTGCCTACTCGAATCCCAATGTGCTGCAGCCTGTGGGGGTTCTCACGCCGCTGGCGCCCAGCACTTCGGGACAGCAGATGCAGGTCGCACAGGTCATGAGGCCTGATTGCAGGATGGCCACGGGACAGGGGTCTGGGTACTCGTCCTGCATGGTCGGTAGTGGACATGCGCACATCGAGCAGCCTGATCTTAATTATGAACAGTATATGTGGAATTTCTAAGGGGC